GAAGGAAGGAAGGAAGGAAGGAAGGAAGGAAGGAAGGAAGGAAGGAAAGAAGGAAGAGGGAGGGAAGGAGGGAGGGTATTGCACAGAAAAACAACGAGGCAACCTTTCTTTGAGTCATTAGTTGTCCAAAATTGTTTAAGGAAAATTCTATATAACCCTCAATGGTAGCTAACTTTGGGAGAATCCCTAATGATTTGTGGTTCAAACTCTTAAGTATAAAATTTGTCATGAAAACACTTCATATTTCAATATGTCCTTTTTTTCCTGCTTTCTAGTCAGTCTTAACTTCAGTAACTGCCTGGCCCAAGGTCGCCCAGGTGGCTTTGAGCCTAAGAAAAGACTAGAAGTCACACTGTCCTGGTTTCTACTCCAATGCTTTTAACGACAATATGAAGTTGGTTCTTTTCTCTGGATATTATAATTGTTAATTGTCAACTTTGTTCTTTTTTCCAAGAATCAATTTCCTCTGCCTTCAAAAAGCTATATAAGCAAGACACCAGCAGCCTCCACTGAGAGACATATATTTTAAAATGTGTGCGTTATCAGGCATGACATCATGATAGAAGGTCCATCTCTTTAGTAGGGATGCTACCATTGCAAGCCCAACCTAAAAGGGCAGGACTTCGTAACACAATACCTGCCATTTTACAGATTTTGACATTTCCCTTTCTGCCATGGATGCCCATGAGAAAGTTTAAGGCAGGGGTGACCAACTTGGCAAATTTAAGTTTTGTAGACTTCAATTCCCAGAATCCCCCAGCAGCCTGGTTTAAGATCTTATGATGGAGGTGTAGGTATTTACAAAATTTTGACCTGTAAAGCTACTATGAGAATGGAAATTCAAATGGAGCTGGTAGAACTCTGTATGGGAATAAAATAAACACACCCACATACAATCTTTCTGTAATGCAATGATACATTTTAATGAAAAGATGTTACATTTCTTTTTACAATTGGTGCTAATAACCTAATAATCAAGATAACTGTTGATCCTCAGATGTGAGGACAGATGAGATGGATTACGTGCAAATGAAGGTGACAAATAATTAACAACTTTAGTCTCAACAGCTACTTAAAATTGAATTAAAGTGCCCACTGGAACTTCAGATTACACAGTCTGGTTGCCTTCTTGTCATTCCTTAAGTCGCTATCAAATTTAATTCTTTTGAATGCTCCCAAAATGAAGAGCCATAGATTGTAATTAAGATACTTTTTATTTTATTTTACTGTACCTCTGATAATTTACTTACTTCAAGCAATTGGAATTTAAAGTGTCCATAAATTTTAACTTTAGTTCTCAGACACTAAACAATGGGTCAGAGAATTCGAAGGGCACAACTTCATGAATGAAAAGTTGATGGTTATAAGTAGAGAATAGATACAGAGAGTCTTCCTCTTACAACAGTTCATTTAGTGACCATTCAAACGGCACTGGAAAAAGTGACTTATGACCATTTTTACACTTATGACCATTGCAGCATCTCCGTGGTCATGTGATTTACATTCAGATGCTTGACTCACATTTATGACGGTTGCAGTCGTCCCCTTTTGCAACTTTCTGACAAGCAGAGTCAATGGGGAAATCAGATTCATTTAACAACTGTGTTACTGATTTAACAACGATGGTGATTCACTTAACAAATTGTGGTCGTAAGTTGAGAACTACCTATATTTGAGCAACTTAGATCAGCAAGAACTAGAATGGGGGTAGGAAAGCTACTGTTTTATTTTAAGTGTTTATATACCATCTGTCGTTTACTGTATCCTTAATATACAAAATGAAAAACTGCATTTGAATAGAATTATGTCTAGTAATATAAAAATAATATTTTTTAAAAAATGGCTTCAGGATGGTGAAGAAATGAAACAAGACTATATACTTTCCCATTATTTATTCAATCTATACACTGAATATATATGGAAAAGGAAGCTGGATTGAAAAAAGAAGAATGTGGTTTTAAAATTAGAGGAAGAATCATTAATAATTTATGCTATGCTTATGACATTTCTCTCATAGCCAAACATGCAAAGGATTTCAAGTCTCAAGTAATAAAATAAAACTCACCCAAATTGCCAAAATTTGCTTTGGATTTGGGCTTTGCCCTATGAGACCTGAAAGAAAACCCACTATCCTATAAATCCCTGTGTGATCTACAATTCAGTCTTCACCTATCAGGTACCTTCCAGATGTGTTATGCAATGCCCCTAGAAACTTTTCTGCAACATTTTAAACATTTTAAACAGATGGAATAAAGTTATTGGAATAGGATTTCCATTCATTTTTAGTCAATTGTCTTAAAGAACATACTTCTTGCCTCCCATGGACTCTGAAAAATAAATATTAGGTATAAGAACATATAATGTGAGATTCAAGAGTGGGAGCTTGTGATGGGTACCAATGCCAAGATAATGTCAGCAATAAGGCCCCTAGGTAGTAATTCTCTGCTTTGGTTGGTTTTCCCTTAGAAATAACAATTGCCTCATCGTTAATATTCTGAAGAATTGTAAAGACCGGGATTTTTTTAAAGGGGTTTATAGAGGCTGATTATTTTTCAAAATATGTGGTCCCATAAATTAGTGGGGATAAGTGGTTAGGATGTTTGTTATTATTTGCTTTTGTAAATTGGAGTGGGGAGAGGAAGGAAGGAAGGAAGGAAGGAAGGAAGGAAGGAAGGAAGGAAGG